TTCAGCATGGACCCAATGGCCATTTACAGTAATTCTCCTTAAGTACAGTACTGTGTGTGTTTGTGTTTATGAGGGACAGTTTGCATGAAGTTGTTTTGGAAGTATCCTATTTTGTATTTGAAGGGAAGTTTAATCTGCTCGTAATACAGTAGAGTGTAAGTCACATCTTCCTGCAATTTGTCAGGTGACTGAGGATATTTCTCCACTGCATTCTGGGAAATGTAGTTCTGTCAAGAACTCTTCCCATCTTTCCATCTTCCTGCTTCAATGCTGTTTCAGTTGCTGTGCAGCTTTTTTTCCTTTGGGCCAAAAATAACACCAGTTGTTTTCTTAGAGTGGTACTGTATGCGTATAACGGATTCAGCTTCTTCTTTATCAATCTTCATTCACAGTACTAAACGCTGCTGTCAGGATAGTCCAGGTCTGAGTGAACATCTCTTGTGAGTTTGTGTAATTAATATAATACACAAAAGTGTCAAATGAAACACAGCTATTGTTCAGAACAAATGCACAAAACTGCATCTGTTGCTTAAAAAGCCCCCCCCCCCCCGATAAGAAACAGCTACTTGTATAAATGGGTGCAAAAGATCTCTTTCAGCAGCAAGAGGATGCTATAATGCAATTGTTGAAATGTTTATCTTTAAACATCTTGTCAAATTGAGGAGGTGGTGGTGCTTGTGATATGTCACACTGTGATATTAAGGCTTTATTTAAAGTCTCTGTAAGTATAATGTCAATTATTACAGTGAAAATACAACTTTGGTGTAGCTCCAAGTATTGATAAAGCAGCATCATCAATGACACGTTACTTATTTCTTTCTCTCTTTCTTGAGAGAGAGATGGCGGGGTGGCGGTAGGGCACAGTATACGGGAGATGATCCCAGTTCTTGCTGGAGACAGGAGGGGGCACTGGCAACCTGGAGGAACAGAAAGAACTGATGGACCCCAGGGAATCCAAGAGCCTTCACCCCACAGTAACAGTACTGAGGTGCTGACAGTGTGACCCAGGTGTAACGAACAGTTCTTTCCGGACCCTATGCGGACGACACAATCTGAGGAAGTGGGGAAACACTGGGGAAACGTCATGCAGGAATACGGGGCTGAAGACAGGGGGGCGTGTCCAAGGTGCGCTGGTGCACGGGGGAGGTGTGATCGAGGCGAACAATCCGAGAGTAGTCCTTAGGGAAAATCCAAAACGCAAGGGTAAGTCCAAAACCAGGAGATCCATCAGAACAAGGAATTAAAACACGAAGGCCGGGTCGGAACCGGCAGACAGGGAACAGGAACGGGAACAGAGGTTAAAACCTTAACGGGACCAGGCGCTTCCAGGTCCCGGACTCGCACGGTACGGAAACCAGATGCAGAGCCTGGATGAGCGTCAGCGCCTGGCTTTTAAGGTGGGCTGGGAATAGGGATCAGGTGCACAGAATAAAGTCTTAAGTGAAAGGGCTGGAGCACCCTTAAGGAGGGGGGACTATAATCGTGACACCAGGGGGGCTCATATCCAGTGTGCTAGAAATTGCTGAAGGCTGAGTCTAAAATTAGGATGTGCAACGAAATTCTAGAAAAGCAGACGACGAAGTAACAAGGCTGGGCTTGCAAACAGTGAACTGGGGCGAAGGGAACAGTAGAAGTCGGACGGTCACACTTGAAAAACACAATCGTAAAGGATCAGAAAAAATTAATTCCTTCATCAATTAAATCCACATGTAGGAAAATTAAGCCTAAATTATTTAATGGAGAAATTGAGAAAAAAATGTAATAGAGGGCTCCACAGAGTGTGAAAAAGGACCCAAGGTTCGAAAATAGATAAAGAGTATACAGTAAGCTTCATACATTTCAGGCACAGCGGAAAAAAAGAATATTTGGAATTGTGGAGGGGGAGAAAGTAAAGTGAATGATTCAAAGTGCTTTTTTAGAGGTATAGCAGTAAAACAATTGTAAGAGCTGTAGTAGAGAACTAGTTTTTATTTGTGAAATGGTAAACATGCTGAACGTGATGAGGATTTTGCAAAACACATACAGTACAACTGATAATGAGGAGCTGTGGAGTATGTGGCTGCTTAAAACTAGGAGGCCACCAAGGCCTGCTGGTATTTTCCAGCTATACTTAAAGAAATGAAGGATGTTTGCTGTGTCTTGTGTCTTATCTTGTGTATTCTTCTTATTTATTGTTATTATCATCCTGCAAAGCGCTTTGAGAAGCCACCTTTAAAGGCGCTATATAAAATAAAGTTTATTATTATTATGTTATTCCTAAACACCTTTCCAGCTCTCAATTGGAAAGGGAGCTGCACTGCAGTGACCACATAACTCCTTTGTGACAGGATGCATTTTAAAACAACCCTTAAACTGTAGGACATGAATCTGTAAACTTGGCATGTCAGTGTTTGAGTGTAGAATTCTGATCAGCTGTTCAATATTAACCTGGGTCCAGAATCCAGCTTTTGAACAAATCTGTTACACTGTCCAGCTGTTCACACTGTCAGATACAGTAGTTGGCAGGAATAGTGTTTATATCGTCACCTTAATCTGCACCCATAGATTGGAGAACTGCAAATTTGACACCAATTCATGAAGGGAGACAGAACTTAATCTGACTAAATGAAGCTATAGACCAATCAGTCTTACTTTTGTTGCTGGTGATGTTATGCAATCAGTAGTTATAGCTAAACTAGAAGGATACTATACTTGACAACAGCATTTTAAGAGACATCAAAGACGGATTTAGAAAGCCACGATTTTTTAAACTTTGTTAGAATTTGTTGAATATAAGACCTTAGATAACACCATGAAATATATTGAGATTTCCTCCTCAGATTAAAAGATAAAGGATCCAAGATATTATATGGATAGAGAACTGTATGATAAACAGGAAACAGCACAAGGGCTGTAACCTCTTATGGGTTGGATGCAGTCACTGATGTGCTATGTTTTAAGCCTGTTGCTCTTCCCGATGTATTTCAAATATTTAGATTCTGATGTAGCTGGAAAACTAGTTCGATTTTCAGATGATACCACAACAGCTGGAGGGGTAATCTCAGAAGCACCAGCAGGGGAGTTACAGTACAAAGAGACCAGACCGGGCTCAATCAAGGGCAGGCACCGGGCCAGAGCAAAGTGATCCACACAGTTAGTGGAAACACGCGCTGTGCATGTTGCCAGGACTCTGGACACGAAGAGGGTCTGGGTGTTCACAGTTTGTGCATTCTCATGCGTCCTTGTGACAACACCGTGGGGATGCAGTTTACTGGGCGGAGCGGTGGCACTGTGGCTGGAAGGTTGCTGGTTCAAATCCTGCAGCCGGCAGAGGAATCCTACTCTGTTGGGCCCCTGAGCAAGACCCTTAACCCCAAGTGCTCCAGGGGCACCATATATATGGCTGACCCTGTGCTCTGACCCCAAGCTTCTCTCCCTGTCTGTGTCTCATGGAGAGCATGCTGGGGTCTGCGAAAAGACAAATTCCTCTTGCAAGAAATTGTATCTGACCAATAAAGTGATCTGATCTTATCTTATGTTATAAACAAAGCAAACGGAATGCTTGCTTATAGAGCAAAAAGTGTCAGATTCAAGTCCAGGGAAGTTAGACTTTAGCCTTCCAATGTAGACTACAGTTAAAATTGTTGTGCTCGATCGTGGTCATTGTACCACCAGGAAGATATTACGGCTTTCAAAAGACTTCAAAGAAGAGCAGCGAGGATGACTCCTGGTCTCAGGGGATTGTTGCAGACAGAAAGGTGAAGGGAGCTGATTTATTCCGTCTACAAAGGGGATTATGAAGAGACTTGATCTATGTACAGCACATGAAGTTCTAATGAGTACGGTCAGCCAAGGGGGACTTTTCTGGACTCAGTAGGAATGTACAATTGGAAACTAAACAGATATTTTTAGAACAGAAATTAGGATGTTTCTCTATGCATTTGTGTTGAGCATTTTGGAAACAGGCTTCGGACCCAGAAGGTTGAAGCCCTAAGTCTCGAGCTCCTTCAGGACATGGATACAGTTTGGATTGACATGGCTTTAAAACTAACAAATGAACAACAGTTCCTTACACTCACTGGGGCTGGGAAGCGCTGGGATAGAGACGGTGTTCCTCTGGGACTGGGGCTGGGAAGCACTGGGAAGCACTGGGATAGAGACAGTGTTCCTCTGGAACCAGGGGTGGGAAGTGCTGGGATAGAGA